ACTTTCAAATAAAACCTAAAAAACTCGTGCTTGATAGCCTGAGGCCTGACCTGGCCCTTCTTTATTTTATTTTTTAAAAAAAAGTGCAAAGCACGTATTTATCTAAGGCAATGAATTGTTATAAAACAAAACAAAAAATTATGCTAAGAGGTTTTATTGTTTTGACTGTTCATATGAGCAATAAAGTGACATTAAAAAATCCAAGTTCTTTTAGAGTGTTTAAATAATTATAAATTTGTTTTATTTGAAATTCTTTTTTTCCCATTTGATATTAAAGTCACGTAAAAAAAATAAGTATCGTGAATAGACCGTCAATGCTTAACAGGATGAGAAGTAACAGGGTGCTACATGGTTACGTGAATTAGAGGCTTTTCATTTTAATTCCAATCTATATATAATTTAATGTGGATTTTTCATTATTTTTCTCGAGGGCTAACTAAAATCGTGTAGTGATCAACAGGGAGTGCTCGAATCACCAGCTTTTATTTGTCACCACTTCAAATCACATAATAGTTTAATTATAAAATAAAAAGTTAATTTCTTCAGTGCTGTTATTGTTGATGTTTTATATGCACGTGAAATGTAGCTGTTTAAATATCATTCCATGTGTTTGTTTGGCTCAGAGGTAGGTATGATGGTTTTTTTTTGAAAGTGCAATTTTTTTAAAACACAAAACACATGTTATAAAAGTAAAAAATAACTATTTCTAGTTTCAGAGTTACAAAAAATTTATATAATTATTAATTTTAGAATTTATAAAATAAATTGAGATATATGTAAACTAATCAAAATATCTATATTAATAAAAAAATACATATTTTTTATATAGTTCCTATAAAAAAACTAACCATACCTCTAAACTAAGTACTCTCTATATTATTTACCTGCTGGTAAAGCAGCATCCCAGGTTGTGCTTGTTAGGTGACACCATTACTTTTTATTGGAGTAATTTGTTTTTGTTTAAAATAATATTTTTAAAATTTTTTTTTTAATTTCAATACATTAAGTAATTTGTTTTTGTTTAAAATAATATTTAATTTTTTTTTTTAATTTCAATACATTTAAATAATAAAAAAATTAAATATAAATAAAAAATTAAAAAATTATTTTTTAAAATATAAAAACAATCAAGTGATGATAATAAGGACAGTATTCTATTTAAACCTTAAAGGAATATTTTTGTTTTTTTGGTAAAAATGAACAGGTGGTTTAACAAAAAGCAAATTTATGCAAGTGAATTTCCTTGTTAAAATATTTCAGTTTTTTTATAAATAAAACAATATTATTTAAATAAAAAAATAGCTTAGTCAAGTCTCATTTAGACCTAACTGTATCAATTTAGTTCTACAAACCTTAAAATTATTAAAAAT